ACCAGTTCGCATCCCTTCAAGGACATTTCGGCGCCCCATTTCTCAACCCATCTGTGCACCGATTTACGCAATAAACACTTCTCGCCGAAAGCAGGAAGAATTTCCTGCGAATATATTTTGCGGGAAGCCCTTTTGTCGACACAAAACGCACAGCAGCATGCTGCTCTTCAGCCTACACTTCCAGAGCACAGTCGGCATTATTAAACTGAGCTGCGCATCTGTGCGACTGCTATCTACTTACCGCGCAGTAAATATAATGAAACTGAATTGTGTTGCCGCCTATTACCATATTGGGAAACCAATCACTACTTATACCAGATATTTTATATCCGTTCTTGAATTGCTGAGTTTCCCTTGTACTTGACATGTTAAAACCCACCAAATAATTCTTATCCGAACGTATATTTCCACACAAAGCCAACGTAATCAGTGCCACTTCTTTCGATAAATATAATAATAGCTAGTTTGTATTTTCGTGTCTGCTAAGGAGCCGAGGACTGAACAGCAGTGCGCTGCGTTTTTGAAATGCAAACACAAGTATACCCATGAAAGAGTGCAATAAAACCAAAAAGAAATATTCTTTTCCGTATAAAAGGACATCCAAAAAGGAACTGACCGATGACAAATGGAAATAAATTATGATCAAATAGTAGCAATGACCATAACTCGAAGAAATAACCCCCTGATATTTAATTAAACTGTGAACGAAAAAAAATGAAATCTGTAGTCCACAACAAATACCTCCGCATTCCATTTAATAAAAATAATTTACTTGGAATCAACATGTTGATCAAATAGTGAACAAGGCTGGATGTAAACTTTGACGCTTAGGCGTACTTTTAAATTTGCAGGTACCGAGAAAAGGACAACAACATATAAAACACTAATCAGACCAATGCTGAAATACGCTCACTCTCATTGGTTTGCCCACACAGCAAACGAAATAAGCAGACTTGAATGCGTTTCAAAGCAAGCTAGTCGGTTCATATATAATGCATTTAGCAACGGGACTTCTCGGACACACTTCTTTAAAGGGCAACTCCGCTCAATTCCGGAGATTTCGGGATAATGAGTGATTTCGAATTAAAAAGCCCTAGTAAAAGACACTTCGTCGTTTGCTTCGCGAAAAATGGGATATATATTTTTAAATCTAATTTTAAACACGAGCGGAAATCCAAACCGAAACTTCGGCTCCGTCCGGCAACATTGGCCTCGGGCCGCCAAGTACATGGCCATCACGTGATACGAGATGTCACGTGATCCTCGGCCCAACGACGGGCGGGATGGGGGCGGGCGTGCGGCAGGCGCGAGTGTTGTCTGCACCGCACTCTTCGCCACGTTTTGGTGTCTACGGCATTCGACGACGTCTGCACAACTGCGGCATAAGAATGAGACTCTGCGCACGTGGTGTCCATAGTGTGGACGAAACTCCGAGAGGCGATAATCACAAACGGTGAGACGACGACGGTGGCTGTGACGCGGAAGACGGCGGTAACGGCGGGACCACGGCGGGTGGTTGGTCTGCTCCCAAGAAGCGCGCTGCGCAGGCGCGTACGCCAATCACGTGGACACTGCTGAGTGCCGAGAGGAAACGTTGCTGACGTCATGCGCTACGCTCGATTGGAGAAGTAAAAACAAGCAAAAGGTGGCCATGATGACGTTTAGCTCAATGTTGGCTCCACCCATGCCGTAGCCTTGACTGCGCTGTTGCTTGCGCCTCAATTCGCCCGCTCGAGCCAGCCGATTTCGGCAACTTGGCGAGTTGCAAAGTTTGCCGAACCGTTTAAGAAACAATTAGACAGAACTGCATCGTAATATTTGACGTGTGGTCTTCCTAGGCGATACCCTAGGGGACTGCATTGTTTCTTCAAAACCAAAAATGAAGCGGAGTTGCCCATTAAAGGCGCCAAAATGAAGATTTTTGGAACTAGGGCAAAAATTAATACATTAAAACTTATGTATTACTTTACCGAGAGCAAGTTTAATATAGGTATTAAACAATATATCGCATTTGCATTGACCGGATCGGCAAACATACCACACCAGATCAATTCAGCTATGCAGTTTAAACAAAATTGGAATTCACTGTCAAATTAAATCACCACGCTTTCATCGCCTCACCGGTTTCGTTAACACATGCACCTAATCAGATATATGTTTGATCGCATTTCGAGTGTGTATTCATTATGTATATATTATTATGAAAACTTCAACTCCTGCTAAGGCTTTCAGCAGATAGCCGCAGTATCGATTAAATATATAAAATAAATAAAAAGCCCTTGTACGGCTGTTGGAGGCGTGTTTTTAGGCAGGTATCCCGCTCATCATGATAAAATGTATACGGGCGTTTTGAAGCACGTTCACATGGTACCAGAGCCTCACTGCCATCAACAACTCTGGCAGCCAGCAAATACACGTAGCACTTGGTTCAGGAAATGCGTGTCTCTCGATTCTTGTATCATACAATAACAACAGACTGAAGTGAGCCTCGGGCTGCTATCTTCGATTGGAATTCTACTGATTGGTGGTGATAAATACAAATGGTTTCAAGTTACCCCAGCGAAGAGTAAAGAGTAATTATGGCAACGAGATCGCCATAATTAATATCCTAGAATGAGGGATTCAGGAACACGAAGGAAGAGACACTAAGAGACACAGGATACCGTTTCCAAACATACCTCCGGAAATATTCGGTAGGTCGTGTTTTCTATCACAGTCTTAATATCAGGAGCTCGCACTCCCACTTCCAAGCATGCTCTGAGCCCGGCCGGGAACGGTATATTGATCCTTTGAAAGAAATTTGCCTAAAGTAGGCTATCTATATTAGCTCACTTTACTGACTAACATTATTTATAAGGCTAATAATATTCATTACTATGTGACTGCGTATGCATTTCACCTCAACAAGTTTTATACTGCTCCCAATTGTATATGTCCTTTACTTCAAGAGGTGATTGCGAATGTACTGATGCTGCCACTGAAATAAAATCGGGAATATCCTATTTCTTTCCTAAACTTAATCTCGTGTCCTTTTTTCTGCTCGTCATAGTTTACTGGAACCTAGCCACTAGAGCCACTAAATGAGCTGCGCTTAGAGTATCGGCACTCCGTTCCCCGAACTTGTTGGGGGCGCCGCCATTTTGGTGCTTTTGCAGAGCACACGCAACAGCCGATCGTGATGATTCAAAAGTGCGATTTTCTCAGCATTCGATTCGGTGTTAGGAAGCTCATGTAATATTGCTTTGCTTTGTCGCGCACTGTTTAAACATTTGTGAAGGACGGAAAAGCATTTCCTGTAATTTCAAACAAAGCTTCAGATACCTGGAAATCATCATTTTAAGCCACAATATCGCCAAGTGTCGTTACTCTGAGGCGTAGATTATTTAGTGGCACTAATAACCACGAAATAATGTCTTAAACTGGAAAAGGAACAACTTTAAAAATGTGTTTTAATCTGAGTTCATATTGTCTTTTTCCTTTTCTTGTCTCCTTTTCGTGCCGCTTCGCAAATGGTAATTTTTCATTTGATGTTAATTTTCTTTTTTATATAATTTTCTTTTTCTTTTTTGTGCTCATTCTCCTCAAGCGAATTTCACCTCAAGCTATAGCTTCTCCTGAGCGTCCGGTTTCTTCCGCACCCCTGTTACACGGGCACACTTAACCGCGGTTAACTAGTGGTTAACCCGGCTCTAACTACTGTTACGCGGCACCACAGTTACACCACTATACGCTCAGACAACTTTTTCAGAAGAAGTGTAGAGCGCGCGTGCACAGTTTTGATGGGTGCTCAAGATGCACAAGCGCACGTGCACCCATAGCTTTGACTGCATAGCCGCAGAATGTTATCCGCAAGTATTGCGCGCTAACTCCGACTTAGCGTGATTGCAGTTAAGTGTACCCGTGTAACGAGGGTATTACAGTCGCGTGACATGGGTTTTGCGGACCATTCGTTCGATAATCACTCATTGCGCAGCACAGCGTTAGCCCATTATACTCCGCTCACCCCAAGGTTAAACTTTAGCCAATGCTACAAGCACGAGATTGCTGCTTTGAAACTTCCTTCTGAAGAACGAGCTTTCGCGCTACAAAAGGCACGTCCCAAAACCAGGAGCGCGAGCGAGCGAGCGCTTGTAGCTTTGGCTACAGTCTCAACGTAAAGACTCATTCACACTGCCCCATTTTCTTACGTTAAGTTACGTTACGAAATATTACGTTGAAGTCACCGGGACCTCTATGCTTCATATTAAGCGAGGCTACCAGTTCAAAGAGAAAGCAAGACACGCGACATTCGAGGCACGAATGTTTTGGTGACTTATACGTAACGTAACTTAACGTGAGAAAATAGGGCAGCGTGAATGAGCCTCAAGGGTGAATGGAGTATACACGCTGCACAGAGTGAGATTTCTCTATCATTCAAGCTGACTTCAGTGCTGGAAAGGGCGTTGCCACGAGCTCGTGATTTTCTGAAGCGCTTTCTGTACGCCAAAGCGTTTTCGCGCACAAAACATTTTGCAGAGCTACTCAACACTGAAACCAACTTGTGAGATGGAGTCACTGGCTGTGCTACCACGGTCGGCACTCCGTTCCCCGATTATTTTGTGAGCGCCGCCTATACTGGGGGTAAGTGCAGAGGTCGCAAATGTGGCGATAGTTGGGCAAATGCAACATCCCGAGCATTAGATGCGGAATGAGGAAGATCATGCGATATCGTTTTTCTCTGTCGCGTACTCTTCCCAAATTTCTGGAGAGCTGAAAAGCGCTTCCCGCGATTTCAGCTAAAGCTCCGGTAACCTTGAGTTTGAGCCCCAAGGGGACAAACGTGTGCTCACTCTTGCAGTTGCTGTTTTCGTCGTCAATTGAAAACAAGTTCTCGCGTCTCAAGCGAACCTATTCCATCGCAGTGACATTTTTGAAGACCCTGCGTCTAAAACGATGAGCGCAAGGACTGGCTGGAAGATAAGCTGCTGGCAGCCATGCCAGCAATCCGCAGTGGAACTTACACTCGGGGCCGGCACAGGGTCCGGCCGGGGTGTCCGTTGCGGAGGCAGCGGCACGGTCCAGTTGACGGCGGCGTGGCCCTCGCACTCGTCCGGGAACACAGTGCCGCAGATCTGAGTCGAGTCCATCTTGGTGTGCTTTAGCACGAAGAAGAACTCCTCCTGCGGCGTACAGGAAGTCAAAATTGAGGAAGCCAATTGTCAAAGCAACAAATGGCAGCTGGCATGCATGCCCCAGCGTAGGACTGAGTATTAATTTCGACCACCTGGAGATCTTTTGGCGTGCATCGAACATCTCAGGTAGATGGCACCTTCTCCGAAATAATGCTTCGTCAGATTGCGGCAGCCTAGAACTTGGATGGGCGCCCAGCATTAGCCAAGTGCCACCGTCACCCTTTGCATGACAGACCGTCTCCCGCTGGGTTGCGTAAAAAATGTCCGCGGTAAGAAAGGCCCGGGATGAAATGGCCCCAGAAAAAAGTAGTTCCAAGTGTCAAGTAGAAACAAATTTGTTAGAGGAGGAATGAAATAATCTATTTCCCGCGGAACCCATTTTGAAATAAAAGATATTAACCTGGGGTGTTAATAAACACACAATAATTGCATTTTAGTTTGAAGTGCTGTAATTGTTTTGTCTTTTTTTTTTTTTGCTTTGTTTGGTGACAAACAAAGAGGGGCATGCATTTGGACACACTGACATACAACAGGAGGTTTGGAAGCATTGCCGGTCGCAGCCATGAGCCATACAACGGTGTGGAAGGCCATCCCGCCTACGCCCGGGTAAATCGACCGTAAATCTTTTAAAACACGTTAATCTTCATTTGCCAATAAACTTACCAAACGTTATTTCGGTGAACCTGTTATAAACCTCACAGAATAACGCTTTCAGAAAAATGTATCTAGCATGATATATATTGGTAGTCCAAAATACAATAATTCTTGATGGCTTCTTGGATGTAAAAGTAAAAGTAAAATGTAAAAGTCATAAGTTATGAAATCTCCATAAATTATACGTGCCAGTAGTTACATCAATATGTGCAAGCTATTTATTGAAGTATATTATCCCTTCAATGTTCCCGTTATGTTGAGACCTCCGTCTTTTTGTTCTACAGCGGGGGAGCACCCTAAATAAAAGTCAAATTTCCAGCCACCCCGGCGAGTTGAGGCAAATCACCGGCCTACATTTCCCCATTTGGCGAGTTCAAATCCCGGCTGAGGCCTCCGCCGACAGATAGAGGTTCATAGCGTAGAATGCGCCGCCGCCGGGTAACCGAGATTTTGGTTGCACGTTAAAAGATCCCTAGGTGACGAAAATAATTTCTTCGATATCCCGCTGAGGCTTGCCAGATGCCCTTCATTGATTTGGCACGCAAGACTGCCACATTAGACTTTTCAGTCAAAGTCGATTTTCTGAAGAGAAGATGCGCCTGCAAAGGCGGATGAACGCGCCCCAAAGCCTTAGCGTGGCGCCTCCACGCATTTTCGAAAACGCTTTGTAACATTAAAGGTCCCCACGACGCGCGATCAGAGATTCCCCAGGAGCCTCAGGTCTGAAAGCCGAATTAAAATCATCTGGTGGGTTAGTTGGTTATATATGTTTTTCAAATTAGCACTCTATATTCTGTCTCTACGTTCTCTCACATGTCGTCGCGCGAATTTCACCAAGACTGATAGCTGAGCGCAGCTCTTAAAACAGATATTATAACACTCGAATACTCAGGCTCCTAGCCTGCCTTAATGCATATCGCATTCTCGATGTCGACTATATTGTGCTATGCCACCGAGCTCGCGTTGCTTCCAGAGTTCTCCAACTTTGTTACAGTTAGTTTCGCGAGCGCTTGCGAACGAGACGCAAGATAGAGCCAAGTACTTGCACGGCGCAGTGGTGTTGCAGCGCTGTGTACGTTAAGCTAACCTCGGAAATCTAGCACGAAATAGTTGACGCCGAGAATAGAGCGCATAGAAACTAATACACATAGAATAAAAGGGCAATGTCCAGGCGCTTTATCTGCACCCATACTTCTTTTTCCTTTTTGTCCGGAGGCAGCCGGCGCTTTGAGCTGATGGAACCAATTAGTGAGCGTCAAAAACGCACCATCATGGTGTTCACCATGTTCCCGTACATGTTCTCTCATCGCTCAACCAACCATAAACAGAAAAGACCCATGGACTTGCGCTTTTGTAGGTTCTCGATTGGTCCCATTCGCTCGTAGCGTCGACTGCGTCACGATTTAAAGGAAAGCTGGGGTGAGTATTTTTATCTCATGAATCTGAGTATTGCGCTAGTTTTTGCCTAGTACGTAACTAAACAGGAGAAAACAGGGAAAACCTGGGACCAGTCGTTATGGCCTAAAATGTTATTTCGGCCGCCAAGCGCGTGTCGATCGTGTGGCCAGTGTGTCTAATTGCAAGTCTGACAAGTATAGACGTTTCTAGAGCCGCTTAACGAGCTACGCGTAGAGTATCGGCACTCTGTTACCCGGTATTCTTGTGGTCGCCTCCATCTTGGTGCTTAGTGCAGAGCAGACGCAACTGTCGCTAACCACAAATCAAAAATGCGACTTCCCTTAGCTTTAGACGCGGTGTTAGTTAGCTTTCGTGATATCGTTTTGCTCCGTCGCGAACTGTTTTTAAATGTCTGGAAGACAGAAAAACGTTTCCTGCGATCCCAGAGAAACCTTCAGATGACATTCCACCATAATTTTAAGTCACATGACGGATAAGTGTCGTTACCCTGAAGCGTATATTTAACTAGAGGCTCTAAATCATTCTAAAGAAGGGCTCCTTGCCGGGTCCATTTTCATTGTCCGTGCGTATGGCGCGTTATTTGCTCGCTTTCCGAAGCGACGAACATGAGCGTGCTGTCCTGAGGAGATCCCACGCTGGGCTGAACACTCGTTAATGTTGGAATGGTGTATTCCCCCGCACATACACCAGTCGTGACGTCTTGTAACGTGATGGCGTCAAGGAGCTAGTGTCGCAGAAAAGCCGGCGTCGGCGTCGGTGCCAGAGTCGGTGGGACTGGAATATCCTGGTTGGTCGATAAGGTCATGACGTCAACGCCACACGATCTCGTGAAGGAATTCAAAAACAACCCACAATGCTCACATGAAACGTGACGTCACGCGTGGAATGAAAGTGATTAAAACATGACATGGTAATGCGAATTGAAGGTCGCCCCCTGTCCCAGATGAGCTCACTTTATAAAGTAGCGCAGACACGCTTTCTCCGCTCGGGAACGAGCGGGCTTTATATAATTAGCCATCGCGTTCCACTCTTAAAGACAAAGCTTATCTGTCCTCCCGTATTTTTTTTTTTTTTTTTTTTTTACATTTTTTTAAATAAGCGAGAACGCGTGTGCACAGCTTCGATAGGCGCTGAAGATGCGCGAGAGCGGAGATTCCGAAAACTCCTTTTATGACGTAACGCTCCGGGAAGGAGTGGCTTCACCGGTACTTTGAAAATGATTTTATGCAGCCTCCGTGCACCAAATTGAAAAAATAATCTCGATATTCGTGATCCTGGGGGCCACAGGAAGAAGACGATTTAAGTTTTCTTTTTTTTTTTTTTTTTTTAATGCAAGAACCGCCTCAGTTAAAAAGATACCGAAACGAAATGACGTGAGCGCGAGATCTCTGCCCTCGCTTCAAAGTCGGCCATCGAGAAGCGCATGCGTATCGCGCTCGTGACGTCAACAGTTCAAGAACGGTCAAGGGTCCTGTAGTTGCGCGCCTCGCTGCTTGGTGGCGTCATCGCGCGGCAATCTCGCCTGTAGACCTTTTCCACAAGGGCGCCGCCATCTTGAATTGTCGTCACTTCCAGTATGGGCGAAAACATTACTTTGCTGTTGCCACGCCATTTAGGATATAAGACTAACCGTCACACATTCTCGTTTTGGCTCCCCTCTATTTTTTTACTGGTTACAGGTTGAAACGTTTTACTATTTTGTCGTCGCCCATACTGGAAGTGACGACAATTCAAGATGGCAGCGCCCCTGTGGAAAGTGCCTATACTCCGCGACAACTTTTCTTGGCAATGCAGTGGAAGGTACAGGCCAGCGTCCCCTCTCCCATTTTGAGTGTACGCAGGCTCTCCTCCTCCCCCATTTTCGGGGAGAGGAGGAGAGCCCGCGCACACTCAAAATGGGAGAGGGCACGCGGGCCTGTACCTTCCACTGCATTGCCAAGAAAAGTTGTCGCAGAGTATAGTAGTAATATCCCAAGGGCGAGAGCTCGAGGTCGCTGCTTCGAAGCGTTCTTCCGCAGAACGACCACTCGCGCTAGATATGCGTGTCTCCAAGCCAGGAGCGCGGGCTAGCTCGCGCTCGTAGCTTTGGCTGCAGGTTCAGCTCATGGGTGAACGGAGTATAGGAAACGCGTTAGCGTTTTCTGCCAAGTCACATTCAAGAGCAAGTAACTCCACGGGCGAGCCATACTGCGAAGAACTGACGCTGCTTCTTAGAAACTCGTGAAGTCGAGGCATTTGGACGGTGCTTCACAAGCAGCCACCAGACGCAATTTTGGAATCGGTTCGTTCGTTTTAAAATTAGTTTCCTCGACCTTTCTTCCTGCAGCCCAGAAACGCTAGTCTAGGATAGTGTATCTCGGCTGCCGGCACAACCTACACCGCATCCAAACGAAGAAATAAGTGCAAAACATTTCGTTTCCGCACCGCTTTAAGACGAAACAAAGTATAGTGTCTATATTTACCTGAAAAATTCTTCCACGTGCTTTTGCTTTTCCCCGACCTCAACAAACGACAGCGTGTGCTTCGCTGCCTCGTCATCGAGCGCTCCCTGAGAGTTTGATACGGTGCTCTTTGAACGGTGTCCCCTTCCCTATTTTGTCACTCCGATCCGCCAAAGACGCATTTTGGAACATTTGTTCGCCGTATTGCATGCGCCGGCGAATGACACTTCATCAAAAGGCGGCGAAGACTGCGATGTTGCACGCACTGCTTGGTGTGCCACTCGGCTTGTAGTGTTGACTACACCTTGGCGTAAGCTGAAGCAAAGTATAATGCGCGTTCTATTGCGCGTTTACACTGGCGGATAGGCGGGCGGATACGCACAGGCGGAAAGGGGATTTTGGAGCCGTGCGGCGGAATCGACTTCGTCGCTGGCGGAAAATCTGTATACGAGTCCCGTACTTATCCAGACGTTTCCGCCAGCGATGAGTCGATTTCGCCAAATGGCACCAAAAATCCGCTTTCCGCCAGCGCGGATCCGCCCGCGAATCCGCAAGTGTAAACGCGCCATTTGAGCTCACTTAAAAGAGATGTTCTAGACTTATTTGCTTTAGCACTACTAAGAGTGAGAGTGTTATATAAATTGTTGTCACCCGAGTCATCTCCGCTGATCGCGGTCGTCACACTGCAGTGCATTCCAAATTGTCACGTCGACGTACCTTGCACCGAGTTACACGCACTCGGCTGCAGCAATTATTTAATCGGTGTTCGTTTGTTCTCTCTTAATCCATCGATCGAGCTGCTTTCAAAGATGCCGCCTCTTTCCGACATCCGAGGTTGTGTTTGCAGGGAGCAAAGTTCAGCTTCCGACCAGTGCATTTAATGAGAACTACCATACGCTTCGATAGTTTTGGACCGTGTTTCTCCGGTGCAGCACCGAGTCGCGCTATCTGACAGCGTTCCGAGTAAGGTCATCTCGCTTCTAGTATACTTAATGGAATGATTTAGAAATTTCAGACGAGGTAAAATTATGCCACAAAGTTCAGGCGTATCACTCGAAACGGTATTCTTAGTTCCTTTAATATTACAAGTAGCTTCAGAGGAGCGACGCCACGGAGTGGAAAGGACGTCAAGAAAGAATCAGGGCGCCGATTAAATTGCGCAGTGAAAACTGGCCGCGGCCTGGCGTTCTAAATAGAGACACCGTCGGAGTTGTAAATGCTAACTTGAAAGGCTGAATCTGGCACCTACCTTGAAGTGGGAAATGATGCCGTCGCAGACCCGGGGCGTCGTGATGCTGAACATCTTGCAGGCGGTCCTGAGAAAGGAGACCATCTCTTCCTCCGACTTGTCCTGCTTTATGTACTGCTGTACCACTGACGTGGCCAGCTTGCACGCTCCGCAGTATGGCAGGAAGTGGTTGGTCGCCGCAATCATCGTCGCCTCCTGCGAGGCGCCGAGTAAGGCCCTCGTTCCCCAAACTCATCGCTCTGGCAGAGCGTAAAAGAATAACCTGACTTGGTCTAAGTTTGGCATTCCAGGGGGCAGAACTTGGGCTAATAGGGTTTGGCTCAAAGGCGCTAGTAAAGGCCTATGTAATTTGCCTTTACCTTAACCATACACGGTAAGGCAACACAAAGTTGGGCTTTTTTCTGGTTTGCCTACGAGTGCCATATAAGTTCCACACACGAAGCAAAGATACCAGTTAATAACCGAATAACCAAGCAGCAAAGCCTCACTTCGCACTTGTATGGAGGACCAAAATACACAGCCTCTGTTCAAATAGGTTTAATTTTATTTTGAATTTTTTTTAGAGGTACTTCTATTTCTTAGAAATAATATTATTGGAGTGGCATAATATAAATGCACCCTAATCAAAACAAGGAAAACAAATTAGATTACCCATCAACATTCAATACTCTGCTATAAACACAACTGCGCTTTATATGTGTGTAGTCAAATTCAAAAGTTTCAAAGAACAGACCGTAACATTTCTCAAAGCCAAACAAGCAGAAAAAAATGTCGGAAAGCTACATATTAGCAACAAAACAAAAACAAAAAAGCACTAAGATATTTTCACAATAGCTGAGAGCTGGTCCAGCTTTTCGGACTTTCAAGATCGTAGACTCCCAGTCTAGAATAAAATGTTTGTCCAGTGAACTGTGTCACTTGTGTAGGCATCCTTGATCCTCTCAGCAGTGCGTATTGTATTACCGCGTCTTAATAATGTCCCTATAACTTTTTACTCATACCTTGATCAGCGCCCAACATGTAGCCGGCTTTAGGATGCACCGAATAGGGCTCATTCAGTGAAATTGGACTTCGAACATTTGCCATCAGCCTCATTCGCTTCTGGGGTGGCGAAAATTCGTTGTACTTGTACACCTTTGTATGATCAGAATACAGGGTAAGGCAAGTCAAGTGCGTCATATTAAAATAATGAAGTAGTAAAGTAAATTAATGTACAGTTAAGAGAAGCAGCGAGCCGCCCATATGGTGTCGAAAAGAGATAGTAAAATGACAGATAATTTAATAGGTTTAATTTTATTTCGAAACAGACAAGACGTTTAAGATAATATGCATTATATTTGACTACTTCAACGGGAAGCCTCAAACTAACAAAATCTTGTCATATATTTTGTGATACAAAATATCTAGTTTACACTACAGACACATGCAACATTACTTGGCACATCTCACATTCTCGCTTTGGTGCCACTTCCGGACGCTTAAGGAAACCATGGTAACGCGGCGTTCAATGATCTTTAGGTATTTAAGACTGCATTACAGAGCATTCCAGAATCTCACACTGCCCAGCCTGCGAAAGAAGGTCGCGATGACGTGCAGCTTCTGCCTCCAGAACTCGCGGTGGACGTTGGGTCCCCGGGGGTGCCTCGCCGGAAGCAGCAGTACCGCCGGCAGACACAGCGCCAGCAGAAAGACGGACACACGCATCGCGTCCGGGTGTCGCTTCTCTGGAAAAAAGGCCGACAATACGGACACGCTCAGACACAGTTTGAGAAGGCGGGTGTCACTGCAGGGTATGTGCAGGACAAACTCGTAAGAAGGAATCTAGCTCCAGAGAATGGTCAAAATGTGCCAACTGCAGCGGCAACCACTAATCGCAATATTGCCACGCGCGTGGGCGAGCAAGCGCGCGCGTGGGCCAGTGGTTACCGCGCTTGACTTTCACGCAGAAGGTATAGGTTCGATTCCAGTCAGCGGACTGTCCTTTTATTTATTCTTTCAACTTGGGCTTCTCGTAAGTTCGAGAACATTCTCGCCTGATCGTGTTCGGATTGCTCTACGCACCGAAAGTTCTACGCCCAATAATCCAGAAACCAACGAGGGTACATAAGGGGCTCCGCAAGGAGAGCGGAGTCAGTCTCGCCCAGGTTGTAAGATAGACAGGTGGGGAAACGAGAGCCAAATGAGCGACCGGATTGTGTCCCCCTCGGTTTTCTCTTTTTCTGTGGCGCCATCTATGTGGAGCACCGCGAACTCTCACTCCGGGTGGGCGACCGGTAGCGACCGGCTAAACTGATGGAGATGGTTTCTCGTCGATTTTCAATGGAGGACTGTCGTGCTTTCGGTTTATTTTGCGCACTCTCCCATAGAGTTCCACGCAAACCCGATTCCGACTTTATTTCCTCTCGCCGCAGCGCCATCTGTCGCAAATCAGGGGTACCCGCAAGCAGACGAGTACACAATCCGGTCACGGCGCTGCGGTAGGCTTCTATGGGCCGTTTCCCCACCTGTCTATCTTACACCCTGGTCTCGCCCCAGCGTTCGACTCTGCTGCCACGCCCACTTCGACGCCCGCGACGCTCTATTATTATCTTTTGTACTCTTTTAATTTTGGCAGAAGTTCGCCACATTAAACGTTTATTTGTTCCTGTTTATTTGTTATTTTTGGTTATCACCCGTGACAATATTCTTACTGACCGCAAAAAAATGCTATTGTTGCACAAAAAATATTATCGTTAACAAAACACATTGATGGCACAACGTTTCCAAATCTAGCCATTGTTTGCCGTCCACAACAATCGGATGAATCTCTGGAAGCACCCACAAAGACAACTTAGACTGAGATGTTGAAACCTTCTTCCACGAGCCAAAAGGAGAAGAGAACCACGATACCAGAAGATTTCCCTTCCTTGGAGGAGCATCCAGTAGAATCAACGATGTTAACACCTGTGCCGGCCCCACGTAGCATACTAAATATTCTAACGCTTCCCACCAAGAGGCCAGCAACACCGCCCCCCTTCGAATCTTTCATAGCACCCAGGACAGCTAGTAGTTGTTGCTCAGGAGCTCCTAGCAATGTTATTCGTAGCGTTAAAAGCCATCATACGAAAATTCACTAGTGCAAGCAACCCTCCACAAATAGTGCCACCGCAAACTGTGGAGTAATTATTAACGTCCTTGAGTGAACGTCACCATCGCAAAGACCGTACGTCAGAACTATGGACGAACATTATAAGAAAAGCCTCCGTCCTACAATGAAATGCAAAACGTTCGCATTCACGACTTTCTGACTTGAGACAGTCGGTTTTTAAATATAGATTCTCCATTATTGTATCACGTGAATCAAACTCGTCAAAATATATTTGGTTATCGTGGTATAAAGTACTCAGTATGCGCTCATAGTACGAGTCGAGTGATAATGTTTATTAGAAGGGGCCTTACATATATTGTGCACAAGTCGTTCCAGCACACGCAACAAAGGATACGTTTGTGCTACGATTTCAAGTGAAATTAATCAAAAAGTTCCATACATACCACCAAAGTTTATATTCGACAAACAGTATTTGGAATCTGTCCTATACAACGTCGTTGCCACATATTCGTACGGGGGATCTTAATGCCCATCAGACCATACCAGGAAGCATGAGAAGGAACTCTCAAGGAAGAGGCTTGGTGGAGCTCGCCGACCATTATACCCTATTTATCCCCAATCGCGAATCCCCGACTTATTTATACGCAACGGAAGGCAGCAGCTGCCTCGACAAAACATTCGTTGGAACAGCACACAAATCGCAAGTCACACGGTTGGCAGACATTGAAACTCATGAGAGTGAACACGTGCTCACGTACAATATCATGAATGGCTTCATCAGTGCTTAAAAATGCTTCCTAATGCGAACCAATTGGCATACGTCTGGAGAAGCAGAGTATGAGCGCCTCCGCGCAATGTGTCGGAGGGAAGATACAACCCAGGAGAACTAAAGATATTAAAAATCTTCGCGAATCACGCAGGGTGCAAAAGAAAATTTGTCATCATATTAAGACGCTTGCTCGACATCGCTCGATGACAATTTAGGAAACTAGAGATCACAGAAAGCCATTATGTAAGCATATGAAGACCTTTTGATGTCTCAAATCTTCTCAGACACAGCTCCGTCTATTTCGCTCGTCGGCTTTAACAAGAAACTGTTCAGGGAAAGAAGTTGAAAACCAGTTCTACGTTTCGTTGACAACATACGCGACCCAATCCAGCAAGCCCCTATCCCGGATCAGAGCCGTGCCTTCATATTGTGAAGAAGCCATGGACGTCATTTCACGATTGGTGAACTGGATTCTGCACTGAGTTCCGTCCGACCTCACATTTCTTCGAGAAGCGACGGCGTGCCGTATATTTATTTGAAATTGATACATATGGCGGAGGACGCACTGAACTTTCTCTTGAATATATGAGCGATTTGATTTCAGATTGTACAAGAAAAATGAGACATTTTAAAAATAGGTTTGAAAAAGTATACATGCTGGGCAAATTCTTTCCTAGGACGAAAATGAAAACCGTTTTTGCGTCCTATTTTAGTTCTCGAGTTTATTACTTTTAAATCACCTAAGGCAATTCTTTTTTTTTATTTCAGCTCTTGTCTCGCGAGATTGTAATTGCTTCCGCACAACAAATATACTTTTTACGTGGCTCTTTTTGAACTACATTAAAAGTGGAAGATGTTGACACAAAATTTCTCTTTTCTAGATATGTTTGTAAACTATTTATAGCCTTCCCCTTTGAGGATAATTTGTCAGGTTGGGATGATGGGAATTTTTGTAACATTTAATTTGATGACATAAATTATATACCAAATCAAAGCTCGAACCTGTTCAACAAGTACAGCATCGTTATAGATAAAAATATTATATGAGCAAGAAACGCCTTTAAATGCAAGAGGGAACTCTAAAAAGTAAAATTTCAATATCAATCGTCTTAAAAAAATAATTTGTAGCTGTTTTAGTTTTTTTAAGGGCTTTCGGAACATTCCAAACATTCAGTTACAATCATATGCAATGTATTGTTTGAACTTATTAATCCACACTTTCGAAAAGATGATACATGTTATATTTTAAGATGCAAATCTAGATCGTTGCCATTTGTTTCTACCAGATTGTTAATTATTTGCTGATACTAACTCGTAGTGTATGTTGCTTTCAATGCAACAAATATTTAATCATGTTATTATTTATTTATTTATTTCACCTACTGTCAGTCCCGAGTCGGGACTCCTACAGGAGTGGAAAAAAGAACAATTCAACAATGGTACACATGGTACAAAAGCACACCCGTTCATTCACATACAGACCATGCCAATACACCTAAATATCTAGAAACACGCTTAATGAAGAAAATAACTTTTCTGCATCTTCACATGCCATTATACTTTCCGGCAGGGAATTCCACTCGCGTTTTGTGCGTGGAAAAAAATAATTTTTAAAACATTCCTTGTTATCTCTGTATTCTTGTATTTGTCGACTATGTTTGTTTCTTGAAATTCTAGATTGGTGAGGCGTAATATAAGAAACATTGTCAATAAAAACAAGGTCATTAAGTATCATAAAGAGAAGCTTTAAACGCTTGGTTTTTCTCCTACTGCTAAGCGATGGAAGGCCGGCTTGCGAACAAAGCTGGGTAGGGGATTCAAGATATGTACAATATATGATGCTTTTCATACAGACGTCTAACTTCTTTACTTAACAAATCGAAGAAATCGCAACTGAACAAACTTTTCACTGAATTGAGCAAAACAAATAAGGTATACAAATTTTATCCTCTGAACGTTTTATCCAATATACTGTGGCAGTAGGGACAAAAAAAAAAAAAGATTACTGATCCGCCGAGTGGCCTAGCACGAAATTTCGTTTTTTTCCAAGTGCCGTTTCGCCACGCACGCTAAGCCTAATGAGAAGCTTAGTGGAGAGATTTTTTCGAAAGTTATGTTGAGAATCAACAAAGATCATATTCTTTTCACAAAGATTGGTAAGGGCTAACATAATAACTTTTTCCAGGCCCTTAGAAACAAACGGGGGTAAGAGTCAAATCGGTCTGTAGTAAGACATGTCATTTTTATCTCCGGACTTATACAAACCAGTTTCCTTTGCAGTCTGCATACCTTTAGGGAAAATGCCAGTCGAAAATGACAAATTAAAAAAAAATATATGTGAGACAGGGTATACTAGTGGCAATGGCGCATTATATCGGCTACACTTACAGTTGTTAAAGTGGATACATTTGCTGTCTTTTGAGGTTTCAAAACACCGAACCTACTTTATTCTTGTCAGTGGGAAATATAAAACACTTGAGAAATCTCTTGAGTTAGGCACAGAGAACTCCGCAAAGAACCACGCCGATCTGTGTCCGGGGGCGAGAGTGGGCCGTGACATCACCCTAAATTGCGTCTGGCGTCGGAAATATTAAGCTAAATTTATTTTATTTGGTGCAACTTTCATTTCGTGACGTACGTGTCTCATCTAGGTAGTTTCATTAATGTGATCTGCACAGGGGAAAATAAATTTGTGAAATAGTCAACAAATTGGTTCGCTAACTCCACTCTGGTCAATCACTTCCCCTATTAGTTCTTGGGAAATGTTTTTCTGGTGATTTCGGTTTAAAATATCAATGTTTTCCATATAACGTCACTTCTATTTTTATGACGCCAACTTTTTGCATTAATATAAACCATTCGGGTTT